TTTCCTGAGTTCTAAAGCACTCTAAATAAGCACAGAGTCTGTCTCACTTGCACCTCCATGTCCTAATACCTGCTCCTGGGTAGAGATGTAGTCATCAATGAAGGGGATACCCTCATTAGGTCCCTGGCCCCGAACACAGGTAATCCTTGCTACTGACATCTGGCTTGGTTTGATGGTAGACTTGGTGCCATCACTGCGCAACTCTGCTTCCTCCTACGTGAGAAAAGTTAATACAGGAAGCAGAGAAATGCTTATGACTCCTAATATCCCCAGAGTTCTGTCCCAACACCCCTCATTTCTGCTCTTGGTTACCTCATTAAGGGTGACAAACTCAGCATCCAAGCCCACCAGGTCCCCAACCTGTGGCATCTCATTCAGCATCAGTGGAATAAAGGTAGTATGTGTTTTCCGCTGCTTCCGTGCAAGTGAGGCTTCAGCTAGCAGGACACTTGCCTCAATAGGGTTCTTGACTAGAAGAGAGAATCCAGAAGACAGATGCTGGGGACAAGGAAGTGACCAGGGGAGGGAAGCCCAGGTGGCTGACCAGAGACCAGGTCTATACTGTGATCCCTCAATCATGTGAGTAAACAGATCATGTTTGATGAAAACAGCAGGTAGATGGAACATATGAAATCAGAAAATTATCTTGAAATATAGTTGAGAAAAAAAGTCAACAGGAAAGAATAAAAATTTCACTTTGTATTTTAGCTTAGAAAACCTAGAAGACTGAAGTTACAGAGAAACTTCAGTTTAAAGGCACCAAACAAGGACTTAATAAGGAGTTCATCTCTAAAAGAAGAGATCTTTCACTTGGGGATAAGAATTAAGAGTCAAAATCATAATCTTAGCCATTTTGATCAGACTTCCCCCATCACCTCTTTCCCATTACACCCTCAGGATCTCCAGCTTCTAACTTTAAGACCTGAAGAGCAGAAATCTCTGTAGTATCCCTGGAAATATTAACACTGGTTACAGATTCTAATCTTAACAAGCTATTTCCCAGGTCTCTTCCTGAAGACCAATCTAAACTGTTCATACCTTGGGTCTACTCTGTACCACTTACTGTTCAGGTTGTATTTGGAATTAAGATTCCTTTTGATGTAATAAAGGATAGCAGGCACTTTCCAGTTCATGTCAAACTGCACAGCTTCATGCTATAAAAGAAAAAGCACTTAATGGCCCCCTTTCCCTTTTTCCCAAGTCAGAAGACAGGACTCAAGTGCTATTTTTAGCTCTGCTAATGCTTTTTATTCTTGAGAACCCATTCCTTTCTCCTGGCATTCTCTAGGGCACTGAGGATGAGGATGCTAGGAAAAAGGGAGATGAAAGGAGGAATACTGTATGTTATAACTAACCTTATCAATAGGTTCAATAAGAAAGTCATTGAAGAGATACCACTGCTGGTGGGTAACACCCTATGGAGATAAAGAGAAAAACTGATGCCAAAGTGATGGCTGGAACCAATCTAGCTCAGACCGAAGATAAGGACAGATCTGGGATTCCACTGTGGCCGCCACCAGGAGCGTCCCTGCCCTGTACTACTTCACTTACCTCCTTCCGTTGGTGGTAGGTCTCTCCAACTTTGATGTGAGCCACCAGGCTGCCCCCTGTGCGTGAGTCCAGGATGTGTACCACAGTAGCCATCAGGTCATACACATAGACACCATGCTCCTCCTCTGCCCTGGCTGGGCCCCACTGTGAGGGGGGTACCCAGGCTGCTAAGCTAAGTTTAAGGATGGGGGAGGAAGGGGAATGGGGATAGAGGACTGGGACTTTGGGGTATGGGATGGGGGACCAGGGTGGGTTATTTCCATTCTAGCCCAACAGTAAACTGAGTCACTTCGGAAAAGCCCACAACTGGTAAATACTCAGCCTTATTCCCTTTCTTTTCTCTATAGTAAGTTCCACCTTCCCCCTGCCCTGCTTCTGACCGTCTTTCTCTCCATTACCCCTCCTCTTCCCAATTTTCCAACAACCTGCATCTCATCCACATCAGTCCAATTGCAAACATCTAGTCCTTTGTTCTTGGTCATCTTCATACGAATGGAGAAAGGAAGCCAGACATTCTTTAACTCCTCAATGGAAGGACACATCAGCATGCCCTCTGGACTCCCAAGTTCCTTCCTATCAGAACAGGAGAAATGGAAATATGTTCTGAGGAGATCTAGCCAATGACATGAGGAGCCACTGAGTAGTTCAATCCTTTGAGCACTCCCAAGACAGTACCTACCAATTAGCCAAAGTAAACTCCTTGTTCTTGGAGATTTCCCCACCATGCTTCTTCATTGCCATCTTGAAGGCAACCTGAACACAAAGGAGAAAATATCTGATCCCTCAGGAACATTAAACATATTTGGAAGTCAGGAAAGGGGGGAAAACTAAAAAGTACTCCTAAGGCCCTGTTTCCAGCCCTAGTCCTTACCTCAGCCTGCATTCTCCAGAAGTCAGCTTCTTTCAAGCTATTCACTTCACAATTGATGACAAGAATATCTGGCAGATGGCGGATGTTGCGGGTCTGAATCTGAGAGGATAAAACAAACAAGGAATGGCAGACAGCCTACAGGGAAAGAAACCTGGAAAGAACAGTAAAACCTGGATCTGTATCCTCAAACTGGGGTTCTTCCCCTCCCTATTGATCCCTGGATGGCAGTGCTGACCTGGCCAGCCCCAGATGAGAACTATGGCTGAGTTCCCAACATGACCAGTGCAATAGTCCACTCACCGTGGGCTGGTACTTTTCACAGTTGTCACACCAGGCCTGTGTATTCTGCTCCAGACAGATGCTTCGCTTTAGTACCTGAGCAAAGTCACAGTTCTTCCCAGTTTTATCTGTGGGGAAACTGGCTGCTTCACTCCAGGTTCTCCCTTCTACTCACCGTTAGCATTAGCCCCCCCAATACCCTCTCCAGCTACAGGGTATACCACTGTTGCTACCCTCAGGGTAGGAGAGCGTGAAGAGCAGGGTGGATGAGGCTCGCACGGTCTCACTGCCACAGCGGCAGAGGCTGCAGTTCTCCATTTCACAGCTGAACAGCTGCCCAATGACAGAGTCCCCCGATGAGCAAAAGCTGCTAAGGGTGGGAAGGGTGATATATGTCCACTGAGGGAGTTAGGAGACCCTTAAGTCACAGAGGGGCCTGTCATGGTGGCTTTAACTATTCCTGTCCTAATTCCATACCTGCCTCCAGCACCTCGATAAGCTTGGGGTACTTCCAGCTCCTGCATGTCCTGATGCAGTTGAGTGAGAATGAAGCGATTCCACCTCTGAATGAGCCTGGCCAGATTGCCCTTGCCCGAAGCCTCGTCTGAGTCAGCCAGGATCAGACCAAGGGCTGAGGCTTCAGGAATAGTGCGGAATGCCCGAAGAAAATTACTGCCCTGGAATCCAGAAGTGTGTTGGTGGAAAGGGGTTATTTTCTCTTTCGTGGCCATTTTCACAGTGATGTCTCTGCTTGCTATCCACCTCCCTTCTCTTTTAGTTGTCCCAGGTCTCCAGGCACTGACCTGACAAGGGTCACCTCGGGAGAGGTCCAACATGTGGAACAGGAAGCCCAGCTCACATGCCAGGCAGAACTCCTTCTGGCAAAGGTGGTTCTGGATTAGGCAGCGAACAGGCTCCAGGAAATAGAGCACCTGGAGGGAAAAGCAGAACTGACTCAAGCAACTGCTACGGGGAGGAAGAGGGATGGAAGGGTTAAGTGAGCTGGGGGAGTCCACTGAAGAAGTGGAGCTCACAGAGGAGACTTGAAGGGCATGGAACAAGAAAGAATAGTAGAGGAGGCTGTGGTAAAGTGGGCTTGGTTGGGGAGACATGGAAAAAGAGTATGGGTTGTGGGGCCACAGAGACGAAAGGCAACAGACATGTTTAAGTCACAGGAATACCCACCCTTACCTGGATCATGCAGTTACAGTAGGCATTGGGGATGTGAGGCTCTAATCCAGCAAACAGGGTCTTATTGTAGTGTTTGAAGTCAAAGTCCTCTAGCCCTAGCTTGGAGTATTTGATGGTCACCTGAGGCAGAAACAGTCTGAGCAAGATGAAGATATCCTCAGAGTCCCCTAATCTTCACGGAACCCATAACCTTCCGTAAAACCTCCCTCCTGAGTCCAGGGTGGTAGGTGAAGGCTTCTCGACTGAGTCCTTCAGTCCTTTCCCATATGACCCCCTTCCCTGGAACCTTTTCCCACATCCCAGAGGGCTCCTTCCTCGGTATCCCTCAGCACCTTGCGATATTTCTTAGAGACCATGTGGAGATATGGCTCCTCTTCCCGCCCTATTGGTGACTCAGTGACCTGGCTGAAGCTGTCAAATTCACTGTCTGACTCCTTGAGTCGGTAAGGAATCTAGAATTTTTAAAAAGAGGTAACCTTGTTGGATGTCTTAAGACATCTTTTGTTCCCCTTACCCTTATCCCAACTTTGAAACAGACACCAAGTTCTCAACCTTCTGATTTTTTTTTTCATAGGGTTTTCAGCATTCAGAGCTTCTTTTTCATTCCCAGTGCTATCATCTTACCTCACCACAGCTGAACAACTGTGATGGCTTCCACGCTGGGCTCCCCACATTCACTCTGTACAGCATACCGCAACCAAACTAATCCTCCCAAACTGTCCCTTTCAGTGCATCACTTCTTCCACCACACACTGGATTTTAAGGCCTTACAATCAGGCTCTTTCCAACCCTAATCACGCTATTTCCCAATACTGACAGTCACTCCGGCCACATTGTAGAGTCTCCATCAGGTACCCCTTTCGTAGTTGTGTCTCTTGAGACCTTTACTAACACTGATCTTTTGTCTTGAACGTGCTCTGCTGTTATTTCTACTTACCCATGTCTCACTTCTCCAGCTCAATATCCACGTTAGTATGCCTTCCCTGACCACTCTAGCCCAGAGTAAAATTTTCCCTCCAAAAAGCTCAGGCAATGAATGCTTACTTATGACATTCCTCCAGCATTTAACAACAGAACATAAATAATTTGTTATGGGTAGATCTTATCTTCATCAACCAAATACTACTTAAGAGCAAGGACCCTATCTTTTATGTCTCTGAATCCTCCCTAAAACCTACCTTCATAGTACCTTCAATTTAGTAGGCTTCAAAAAAACCTTTACTGACTACAAACAAAAACTACTGAAGACTAATAAAGGAAAAAGACGGGAGAAATGCCAGTGGGCTGGGTGGGGAGGGGATGACCTTCTCCCTTCTGAACATACCTGATTACGAAGCCTGGTACGGGGATTAGGGGCATAGCCAATGAAGCCCACCTTCTTCATGGTGCGCAGAATCTCTGCATCCACAGGGGGTGCTCGCCTATAATATATCATAGTTCTAGGGCTTGAAGGTTGCAGTATCTGCCCGATCCCCAATCCCCAAGGGGCCAGAAAAAAAGAAAATACTGAAGGTAGACATCAATCAGGAAAGAAGCAGAATAATAACAGGGCTTGCAGAGAATCTCAGTATCTCAGCCCTTTACCCCTCCCCTCTTTTGGCCCAGATGAGAGATACAACCTGGGAGCTGGAGCAGAGTTGGCAGCAGGCCAATCGGAGAGAAGAGTGTCAGTGGTGAGTGGGACAGGGATGAGGAAAAGAGGCAGCAGGTCCTGGCTCCAGTCCAGAGGAGGCAGTGAGTCCACAAGACAGGGCAAAGCAAACTCGGTTTCCCGGGAGTAGGGGTTGAAGGAAGGCTCAGGGGAGTCAGTCCAGAGGTGTACGCAGCCCTCGGAATCCCCAAAGGCCAGGGCCTGCTTGCTGGCTGACACATCAAACGTCATCAGCAGAGGTCCCACAGGATTCACATGAAAGATGTCTGCTGGGTTGGCCAGGCCTGTGGGCTCACAAAACTGGCATTGCCCTAGGAAGAAGGAGGAAGCCCACTGAGCAAGCCCTGTAAGGCAAAAGGGAACCATCCTTTGTGCCCTTCCTACCCTCTTCCCTTGGTATCAAAGAAAGATGGGCTCCAAATCCATTCCTAGAGATAGAGAAAACACCATCTAATGCCTTCCCATAAACCACAGTGAGGTTTGTTATGCAGCAAAGGGCAGTTTTACAGTTGATTTGCCTGCTCCACTTTCATTTTTTTCTGTGTTCTTCACACCCAGAGAGAAAATAAAAACTTTAATCTCTGACCAAACCTAAGTGAGACCTGCATGCCCTGCTGAAAGGTTACTTTTTTCCCCAACAAAGAAGTTCCTGGGAGTATACTCCTTCTGGCACCTAGTTCTCTTTTGCTTGTCAATCCCTTTCACACCGTCTTACATCCCCTTCATACCTGACTGGGAGATGATAGCAAGACGAGAAGTATATGTAGGGATGAAGCGCAAGAAGGCAGGATCCACATGTACTTGAAGTGGTGTGATGGCACGCATCATGCGCAGATCATACACCTTGAGGAAACGGTCACACGCGAGGCCAGTGAGGCGGCTGGAGAAGCCGCAGGCGGCCAAGAGGTTGCCATGCACATCAAAATCTGACAGACTCCCTGAGAAAGCATCGAACTCATGCTCCACCTTAAAAGTACGAAGGTCTCGCAGGGAGATCTGAAGAAGAGATAACTGGGTTAGCTACCAAAGCTGTTATCAGAAAGTACCTGTTATCAGAAAGTACCTGTTAGGAAACTACCTAATCCTGTCCCTACAAAAAGAACTATGGCTCTAGGATATGGGCAATTAAACCACAGAAAGGGCAAAAAGAGAAGCCAAGGGCTGGAAGGGACCCCAGAGAGAACTCTTGTTCACCCTTTTGCCTCTAAGACACCTAGTTACAACAGAAAACATCAGGCTGAAAGATAATCTCATAGTATAACATGGCAGGATAGGAATTCGATTCGCTCTTCCTTTCCTCCCAACCGCAGCCCTACAATTGAGGGAAAGGCTGAGCCCAGTCACATATCTGGTGAAACAGGGAGGAAAAATGGAACTTAGCCACTTTGCCAGATGTGTGGCCACAGAAGAAGAAGCGGTTTGACTGTCTCATGATGGTGACTCCAGGTGTCTCGACTGCATACTGGGGAGAGAAGCAAGAGAAATCAGTAAAAAGGATTCTTCCTACAAACCAAAAGAACAGAAAGGTCGCACATATATCTTAGGTATGTTCCCAGCCCAGGTATTATCCACTGCCCCTGCCATAAAAATCTAAGACCCTGCTTGGGTCTTTTGTGCCCCATGCTTATACCTTCTGAGTCTCCTGGACAGTATTAAGGTCAATCTCCAAAATGTGGTTCTGCAGCCCACCAACGAGTAGTGTGCTGCTGTCAGTCAGCAGGAGACTGTGCATATCCTCATTCTCATCCAGCCTGTGAGGGAGAGGAAAGGCTATGAGGCCAGGGTCTGAAAAGCTTCCAATCCTTTAGCCTTCCCACTCTATAAGGGACCCCCTTTCTGAGACTAGAGCTGAGAAGCCACTTACAAGTAATCAAATATAATGAGGCCACCACGGGCCATATACTTGAGGTTGTTCTTGGTGAGAAAAAGGATACCATTCTCCAGGCTCTGAATTTGCCGAATGTCATCACTACCATTGACCTGAAAGGATGAGTAGCGCTCCAAGGCTGGACCAAAAAATGAAGTGGCATGACCCTGTAGGGGACAAAAAGATGAGACACCCCCAGAGTGGAGGCGTAGGGCCATCCCAGATACAAGTCAGGGACTAGACATTACTCAGCTTTCTTTCCAATCTTGCTTCCTGGCCTTTCTGGCTAGCAGCAACAAAGATATAAGGGTAGACGCCAATCTTAGTGACAAATAAGACTGACAATACCATCTTATATTTGTTCAACACTTTACAAAGTACCATTGTAAAGTCTGCCTCATTTTATCCTCACAATGACTCTGCTGAAAGGTAATGGCTCAGTTAGTCTGAACAGTGTTCAGCTCAGGAACGTAGGTCCAAACCTTCACTGGCCAGATGGCTTTCTTATGTTCCACAGTCAAGTCTTAATCTCTATCAACCATGTGGGAAATGTGTACTGTGGGTCAAAGGCTGAAAAAGAGAGAATGTGAAACTCATTCTACCCTTGGCTCCTATGATTTCATTCACTCCTGGCTTCTCTCCTGACTTAGCTCATCATACCCTCTCTTTATGTGCTTCCTTTCTGGCCACTCTTGAAACATGGCTATTCCCAGCCCATTATCTTCTCACTCTACTTATTTTCCTAGGTAATCTCATCTACTCTCAAGGTTTTAACCATCCATTTTAAAACTGATAAACCCTAATTTTCTTCCCTAGTCCAGACCACTGCCTTAAGCTTGACTTAAACATCCAAATACCTACTAAACATCTCTCCTTAGATATCCCACAAGAACCTCAAACTCATTACATCCCAAACTAAATTCACCATTTTTACCCCATTTCAGTTCTTCAGTATTCTCTATGGTAACATGATCTACCTGGTGGACCGAGTCACTGGTAGTTAACTTGTCTTGTTTATTTTACTTCCTAAATATTTTCCAAATCTGTTCTCATATAAGCATCTCTACAGTGCTTCACTCAGGCCTTCATCATATTTTATGTGAACTACTACAACAGCCTACACACTGATCTTAAGAGTCCTACCTCATCCCGCTTAAATCAACTCTATACTGCTACCTCAGTACTCCACCGAAGATGCAAAATGGACCTTGTCATTCTGGATAAAAATGTCTGGTGGCCTGAAGGATGAAGTCTAAGCTCTTTTAACATAGCATATGAGGTTTTTCTAGAATGGTCTTCCCTCAGATGTCCATGGCTCCCTCCCTCCAAGATAGCTTAGAATGCACATCCTGGCCTGCATCCTGTTCTCTACTCAAATGTGACTTTAATCAGAGAAACTTTCCCTGACCATCTATCTAAAGTAGCAACATCTCCTACCCTTCATTAACTCAACATCCTTATTCCACTTAATTTTTCCAACACCTGATACATTATAAATGTATTTTTGTTGCCTTTTTAAAACGCTTATTCCAAACCCAGACCCCAGAGCAAGGTTTGGCACTTAGTAGGTGCTCAAAAAACACTAGCTGAATGAACAAATGTCTAACTTTTCAGTTTCATCTTCCAAACCAGTAAACACTAATTGCTTGTAGTTCTGGCATTCTACAATCACTATGCTGTGTGTTACCTTTGTTTACCCCCACTGCTTTCGCCAAGATAGCATTTTCCTCTCTTATTCACCTGACTTCTACTCACCTCTCAAGACTCAGTTTGGGTGTCACTTTCTTCTTGAGGTCCTCTGACTCTCTTCTATGCTCACCAGTACCCAGTATCTATTTTCACATTGACATTTAGTAGTTTACATCCTAAATTCATAATTATTAAGTCAAGTAGTTGTTTCTTCTAAAGTACCATAAATTATCTGTTTATATGTCTTTTTCCTCATTGTCCTGTAAACTCCTTGAGGGCAAAGATTATGTTTTATTCAGCTTTATTCCCTGAGTCTAGCATAGCAGTAGATACTGCACACTGAAATGAATGTACTACCAAAAAAATTCATTCTTTCCAATGGAAAAACAATTCACACCTTATGGAAAGTAAATTAGTAAATCAAGGCTAACATGTTATTTCTTATAAAATCTTCAGGCTCCCTAGTGTACTGGCAGTATGGATACATATTTTTAAAAATCAACATTGATAACTGCTCTCAGAGACTAAAATCAGGCAGAAAAGACAGTCTGTGTAAGATATACAGAAACATGCATTAAACATTCCATAATTACAAAAATGGAAAACAGTGGAGGGACATTAGATATTGGATTTGGATGGCTACAGACTGATAGGTACACTTATCAAAATTAATCAAAGCATGGAATGGGCAAACTGTGGTAGAAGTGGAATGCCGTCTGAAAAAGAACACCTACATACCATCCCTGGATTCCATGACTCCCTCTTTCTCTCTCCACACCCTTCCTTTTGGCTTGACTTAGAGATCTAACTTATTCTCATCACCTCAACTTAGCTCTGGCTCCCTGCAAAGCAGCTGTCCTGGGGCTAAACCCGGATAAAACACATCCAACATCTCCTTTCAGCCTTTACAAAGGGGTACAGTTCTTACCCCGTGGCTTCCCACCCACAGCATCTCCTCGTGCAAGTCAAAGTGGGAGACGGAGACAGGCACACCCACTTCAGCCACCACACTGTGCAATTCAGAGTAGACACCTTCCATAATGTGCACTGATTCCTGGACAGGAAGAGCCTCCAAGGCCACTCCCTCTGGGTCCAGCTCCACATTCTGTAGCAGACTTGGATTCAGGTGGGCATCCAGGACAGGGTCCAGGGCAGAATGCATTGCCGGGGCATATTCTGCCAGTCCAGGGTCCAGACCCTCGAAGTTCATGATGACGGCGGCAGATTAAACCTGTATTACACCCTACCTTGCCACAGTCCCTTTAGAAACCTGACCCAACAACCTTCAGC